AATCCAATTATTGGGTGTATAGACTAATTTCCGGAATTTTTTTGGTGAAAATGAATGCTTGACTTAAATAAAATTGAAAGAAAATGTCATTCAAAGTATTGTCCATCACTAGCCACTACTTTTTTCCATATTTTAGTCAAAAGACGAAAATCGGGTCGAAATGATTCTTCGTCCTTTGAGGTTATGTATTCATCGACCCGTTTTTTGACTATCCCATAAATAGAGAGCTGCCAATCAGGCACACGACGTTTAGTAAATCCAAGTGGGTACAATTTGGAAAGGGCAATGTCAATTGACCATGCGGGGGAGGAAAAGACGTTTCTCTGCAACTGCGTTTTTCTTATTCTGGACCAGGTGTGCAAAAAGTCAGAAAAAAATTGCTCCTCAAAAATGGCCATTTTTTGATTTTGGATTTTTTACTTTTCCGCACACACCTAGTGTGAAAGGGGAAAGTATTGCAATAGGTCAAAAATTTACGAAACTTCAAAAACATGTTTTCTGGACGTTTCTGAGGTCAGAGAACCCGAATCAGGCCGTTTTGAGCATGGTTGTTGTGGGTCTGTTCCACGTCGTACGTCGTACGTTGTCCGCCGTACGCAAAATTTGTCCATCGATTATCTCACCCTCCAGAAAAGTTATTTAAAATCTGACTGTACAGGATGATTGGGGGTTCCGAGGAATAGTAATCATTAGATTTTGAGCGATTTTGGTTGATGGAAAAAAATTTCATGCCTGGAGTGATACCTATGAAAAAGAGTCCAATTTTCGTCCAAAAATCATACTTAATGTAGACTTAAACACTCGAAAATATGTATTGGGGGGTTTTTCGGCACGAAAAAACCGAATCCAAGGTTAATTTTGAGATACAATCAATTTTTGATACAGTTCCCTTGAAAAAATCACAAAAAAATTCAATTTTTGTATGGGAGCCATGCCTGTATGCTACCTTAATGACGTGAAACTTTGCACAGACTATTTTTTGCACAAAAAAATAACATTCTAAAAGTTTGAAGATATTTCAATTAAAATTAGGGGTACCTCCCATACAAAAACGAATATTTTTTGTGGGAGGTACTCATAAAATATTGTATGTGGAATGAACGTAAAACGTGAAACTTTGGGAGACTTGGAGTGAATGGGCTCAAGGCGAATATCATTTCTAGGATAATTTGGGATGCTGATTCCGAATTTCGAGGTTTCGAGTGAAAAAAATTATGGGTTAAGGGGTTATGACCCCCTGGGGGTGGGGGACTTGGAGGGCAGGGGTCATAAAAAATTTCTCTCGTCATTCTGAACAACTTTGTAGAACATTATTTTTTGATCCGACCAAATTTTGACATGGTGGGGTACTCCCCTGCCCTTATGGGGTCATTAGGGCAGCCTTTATTTTCACAAAATTATTTTTTCGGCACATTATATCGACCTGTATGGGTGACATCAAAAACTTTTATTCACACTTTGGGTACTTTACTGGTTAATAAAATACGCAACTACCACCGTGCGGAAAAGTTCGTCTTACTCCCGTAAGACTCTTTATTTTCGTTTCTTTTACTTTCGAAATGGACTCAAATTGTCTTATTATTATTAGTAGAGACCATTTCTATCATTACAGATAAGTTTCAGCATTTTTTGATGCACAGTATCTTTCCGATTGGACCGAATATTGAAAAAGTCTCCAAAATTGAGTGTAGTTGCCCCCAGCCGATTTTTTATGGTTGGATTGAATCGATTTTTTTCCTTTTTTGCTCCAAGCTATTGAGAAGGGTCCATTCTACACTATCAGTGACAACACTGTTCTCGTATAACGTTTTTATCCATTTTGTGGCATTATCATTTTTGCCCCTCGCAAATTATGGTTTTTTCTCCAACTTTCAAAATTTTCCATCGTTGAAAAAAAATATGATACACACAAACAAATGAAACCCTTTTGATTGATTTTGACAGTATTTGAATAGGCCTTTCAAATGACGTATATGTCATTGATCTACTACAACGCACAAGCAAGTGGTGACATCTGTTGTCAGATTCCGGAAATTAATCGATACACCCCATAGATGATGACGTAAAATTTTTGGGGGGGGGGGTGATGGCAAAATTCTGTAGGGGGTTCCTGGAAAAATCCATGGGGGGTCCCTGACGATGT